GCTGAAAAATGGCTCCAGGAAGCTGCTGCTGACAATGAATGAAGGGATACGGTTTACGCGCCAAGGTCCTCCCGCGAAACTCAGATTTCCCGCCGGCTTTTCAAACCATATTTGCATATCTCCGCCCCTCAACCCGCCGAGGACTGTTCCCACAGTCCATTGGATCCCTGTCGCCTTACTTCAATACCAATCCTGGAGCGAGGTCGCCACTGGCTGGTTTCCATTGGCTACCATACATCATGGTTACCGGGGTGACCCGGGCTCTATTTGCATAGCCCAGCCTGATTGGCTGGAGGCAGAGCAGGCTTCTTAGGAGGTGGGGCAAAATCCTACTCTCCCACGGAAAGCCACGCCTACCCCAGGCCCCTCCTTCGTTCCCTCCCGAGGGGTTGGCTCTGATGACCTGGGCAGGGACTCTGCTTCGCAGACGCAGTGTCGATCTAATCTTGAGCGCAAGTTTCGTTTTTGGAGATTGTCAAGGTGACACCCTCGGGGACTCCGTTTCCTTTTACAGTGAGTGTAATAAATGAAGAACTGCTAGAGGTTCTAACAAATACGTGTCAAAGGCAAGTTGGCCCCGGCCTGGCAGGTGGAAAACTGAGCCCTTTAAATCCTGGGTTTCTTCCTTCCTGAAATCCAACCAATGGCGCGAGAGCGGATCCGGAGGCCAAGGCTGATAGACAGAAGCATGTGGGCAGACAGAACAGTGGGGGTAGAAGGTTCAGCTGACGCGACTGCAGGCACACTTTAGTTCATATTCCAAACCATTCCTGGTAGCTTCATGATTAGCCCGAATTGGGTTTAAGTAAAAAATTAACTCTTTTTGTACAGTGAATGCATGCTAGAAGTATAGGTTTGAGTCTAACAGACACCCTATCTGGCCCAGAAACACCCAGGGGAGTTAATCAGGGCTAACCTAGAACTGATCCCTGGGTTTCTAATCCGCCATGCAGTAATCCGAAGAAGAACAGGCTTTTAAAGTGACGTGGGACTGACAGAGAAAGCTGCCTGCCAGCTCTTTATATCTTCAGACTCCAGGAAGTTCTCTAGCTAACAGCAAACACTACAACTCAAACCTAACCCAACATATTTTAAAAGAGAGGGAAAATGTATGTGTATATATGTATGTATGTATGTATGTATGTATATGTGTGTGTGTGTGTATCAGGAAATGTTATAAGGAAAAATGAAATGGCTGTCGAACTGGATTCTGTATTGAAGCAAATACTCATGGATCTTTAAAATGAAGATTGTGGGGCTGGAGAGGTGGTTCAGTTAGTAAAATGCTCACCTGCACATAAGCAAGAGGACCTAAGTTTGATCCCTAAGACTCACATTAAAAAGCTAAGTATGACAGCGTGTATCATTAGTCCCACAGCTGGGAGATAGAGACAGGAAGCTACTTTGGCCTTGCTGGTCAGCCTGTGAAGCCAATTGGTAAATCCAAGATTCAGTGTGCTTCCCTGTTCTGGAAAGTAAGGCAGAGAGCTATGGAGGAAGACATTTGAGGTTGACCTCTGGCCTTCAAAAGCACATGCATACACAGGTGTGTGCTCTCACATGTATCACACACAAACACACACACACACACACACACACACACACACACACTGAAGAGTGCTTAAGACTGAGGAGGAAGGTGAGGGAGGGTGTAGATAGAAAGACCAGGTCTTTATTTAACAGATGAAAATTGTGCAAAACAGCTGTTGAGATATACTGAGATACATTGTTCTACCTCAGCTACATTTTTTAAATATAGGGTATTTGGTAGGGTGTTCACTGAGTGATGACAATTGCATTACACTGAATCTTTTCATCTGACTATTGTTTATTATTATTTTTAATTCACCCAAGTGTCAGGGCCCATGAAAACCGCTTTGCTTCATCTTATGGTAAGAGAGTTCAAACCCACTATTGCTCTTTCAACGTTAAACAACGTTAAACAACGTTTCGTCTAAGGCTTGGCTATTGTGTGTCTTGCATTAACAACAGGATATTTGGCCTAAGTAGTAACAATTGGATGCCTTACCTTAACAACAGGATGTTTGGTTTAGGGTGTGGTTACTTGATGTTTTGGGTATTGAGAAGGCAATTTTACTTGTTTTTTACATCTTAGTAAGGAAGTCTTTTGCCTTCCTCCCTTTGGATTGGGATATATAAGAGCTTTGAATAATAATTTGGGGCTGATCCTGGTATTCATTAACCAGGTGCCCACCCCCCTGTCTCTATCTCTTGTCTCTTGCCTATTCCTTTCCTCAATCCACACTCCTCCTTCCAAGCATGGACCAGACAAGCCTGACTGACATTCAAATCCTATATGAAACTTAATGATTTGGGTCAGTTCATGTTAGGACTTTTTTTTTGTTTGTTTGTTTGGGTTTTGTTTTTTTTTTTTTTTTGTCTTTGTTTTTTGAGACAGGGTTTCTCTGTGTAGCTTTGGAGCCTATCCTGGCACTTGCTCTGGAGACCAGGCTGGCCTCGAACTCACAGAGATCCGCCTGCCTCTGCCTCCTGAGTGCTGGGATTAAAGACATGTGCCACCAACGCCCAGCCATTGCGCTTTTTGGCAGTTACGGGGATGGAACCTGAGACCTAGGCGTTATTAGCACCACGCTCTAACCAACTTAGCTAACCGGCCAACCACAAAAGATCACCTTGTTTCTGCCCAGAGACCACTCGCGTGTTAGGCGAACGTGATAACCACTACACTACGGACACCTCGTTAGGACTTTCTAATACTTCAGCTATATTACTTTCTCTGAAATTAAAAGTACAATTAAACTCTATTCCAGGCATGGAAATACTTTGGTTTTGTATTCAAGAGTGATGAGGATTCATAGTATTTGTACATTTGGAGATTTGTGGACACTGATAAAACTGGCTGTTATTTGTAGGCTTGATAAAGTGGAATTCAAAAGGTATAAATGCCTGATTGAGCTGGAGGAATGATAGCAACTTCTTAACTCTTATTTCATCACTGTTGCTTTGTATTGTGGGTCACTATGAAGAAAGTTAATACTGTAAGCCAGGATACTGCCAGCTGATTAATATGACTGGTAGCTTGCCTTTGGTGGAGGTAGGGATGCTACGGGAGAGGGGTGTTGTAATATATAAAGAGCTGCATCGGGCAGTAGAGAAAATACCATATCCCAGACTTTGGGAACTTGAGCTC